CTTTAGTGATCGTACGTCCCTTTCGAATTGACCCTTAAAACTCCAACGACAATGTTACCTACTCACTAATAGTGGGATAGCACTGTCTAAAGGAAACAAGAATAGAACAATTCTCTTTTTCGAGTAGGTAGATTAGCTCTTAAGTACTTGCTCAATCCAAACAAACTTTTTCACACTTACACTCCTCTTTTAAACAAAGCTTTCAAAAACACTTTGTAACACTCTTGAAGACAAAAGCAAGAGTTAAATCGAAGTCAAAAACTTTTTTCAAATCAAACACACACAAGCAATTTTGAAAATGATGAGCAAGTATCTAAAAGCCCATGGAAAACCACGGATAGAAAGGGTGCTAATACCTTCCCTTTCTATAATCTACCCCCCGTACTCAAAATCTCGAAAGAGGGAATTTTTCTGTGCTTTTTTCCTTTCCTGTTGGATAAAATAAAAGTCGGTGGCGACTCTTGCTTACCGCGACATTTTGCAAACACAAACGCAAAACGCAAACCAGCATTCCTAAAACAGTCCCGGTTCTGGCCACCGTATCACAATATCAAAAACTTATTTGGCTCCCTTTTCCTTCAGACTTCAGAATCAACAAAGACGACTTCTCTACATCCTTACTATACAAGAAGTAACCAGTGAAGATTCATGGATCTCTTCGAACAAAATCAGAATGCTCTTTGTCAGGACATGGAAACCATGGGTTCCTGAATGAATCAGCTTATGGAGACCCTTCATGGTGTTATTAAGGAGAACCCAATAATGTGAATGTTGAGACTCCTACTGAAATTCCCAGGAATATGGTCATTGATGATCGTCCCAATGTCATTGATCTTGGTGACTCACAGGGTGACCTCGCTATTGATGTTGACGAAACTGCAAAGATGTATCGTGCTCTTGAAGGGCGTCTCGAAGCTATGGAAGTTTCTAAGACTTTCAGATTCAAAATTGATGAAATGTGCCTAGTGCCAAGGATTGTTATTCCTCCCAAGTTTAAGGTTCCAGATTTCAAAAAATACAAAGGTACTTCCTGCCCAGAAACTCATCTTTGTTCCTTCTACCGTAAGATGGCAGCTTATTCTGAAAATGAACCATTTCTCATGCACTTCTTTAAAGACAACCTGTCTGGGGAACCACTAGAATGGTATATGAAGTTATAGAGAACTCATGTCAGTACTTAGGGAGATTTAGTTGATTCTTTCTTGAAACATTACCACTACAACACTGCCAAGGCTCCTAGTCATGCCCAACTTCAGAGTATGGCTCATAAATCTAAAGAATCTTCAAAGAGTACGCCCAGAGGTGGCGGGGACAAGCTGGAAGGGTTCAACCTCCTCTTCTGGATTATGAATTGGTTGATTTGTTCATGAGTACCCTGCGAGGTCCTTATCTTCAGCACATGATTAGCAGTACTTCTGCTTCCTTCTTTGATATGGTTATTATTTGGGAGCATGTTGAAACTTGTATCAAGGCAGGTTCGATCCAAGGTAATCCTAGAACCACCAACAACAAGGCTAGCAATGGAAAGAAGTTATATTTTGGTTTTGTTAAGAAGAAAGAGGGTGAGACTAGTGTTGCTATTATTGATAAGGGGAAAGCTCCTGCCTATTCTTAATTCTTGTTTCCTTATTATCCAACACATGTAGTTGTCCCTAATCAGTATGTTCCTCAGGCACACGTTGATGCAACATCACAACCCTGGGTGGATCAACAACAACCTTTCATACCTCAACCACAGTAGGTTTCGCAACAACAGTATGCACCTCCTTAAAATTATCAGCAACATAATCAACAACCCCAGGGTCAGAGAGGTCAACCGAGGCAGATAGTGCCTAAGAGGAAGATTTACTTTATTCCTATGCCATGTGCTTGGCACCTTCCCTAATTTCTTGATAATTAGTTGGTTTAGTTACGTGAACTTAGTCCACTACCAGATACTCTTCCAAGGGGGCATGATGTCAATGCACACTAGATTTCATTATGGGGGCCCCAAACCACATAATTGAGAAGTGTTGAGAATTTAAATACAAGGTTAAATACCTCATTGATGCTAAGACCATATCTTTCACCCCCACAGATCCCAATGTTCAAAACAATCCTATGCCACCTCATACAGGGGCAGCAACCAATGTCATTGAAGTGGTTAATGAGAAGACTATGGAAACCCAGGTTGAAGAGATCAAAATGCCACAAGGGGCTGTTAGAGAACATTTGTTGAACTAAGGACTATTGCAGGAACTCCATGACTTTTGTGTACAATGTTCTTCTAAGCTAAAAGAGTGTGCTAGATTGAAAGATGCCATCCAACAGTTGATGGATGAAGGTGTCTTATAGGTGGAAGAGGTATCTCATGAATAAAATATTGATGTATTAGAAATTCCATATTATTTAATGAATATCTCAATAACTCAGGGTACTTCATTGATGATTCAAGCCCCAACTACTCATGTGGTAACTCAGAATCCTTCTCCTCCTCCATGTGATAATACAAGAGCAGTCCCTTGGAATTATAATGTGGTATACATTCTTGTAAATAAGCATGATTGTCCTCCAGTGGGTAACAAAGACATTACCAACATTGCAGGAACCAATAGCATGACTCGTAGTGGTAGAATCTTTGATCCTCCACCACCACCTCCCAAAGAGACTGATAGTGATTCTCTAGCTAAGGCTAGGGACAAGCAAGTGGTTGTTGATCGGACTGAACCTTCAGCATCTCAAGAAGTCGAGCAACTTTAGGGGATTCTCAAGAAAGGTGATTATAAGGTTGTTGACCAACTCAACTTGTCACTATCTATGATCTTTATATTGTCTCTTCTCATATGTTCAGAGGCTCACCGTAACGCTTTAATGAATATTTTGAGTTTCAAGTTACACAAGACATTATTATGGCTCATTTTGAAGGGGTCGTAACCAATATTGCTGCGGGCAATTGCCTAGATTTCTGTGATGATGACCTCCAAGCTGAAGGCATCAAATACAAGAAAGCATTTCACATCTCTATAAGGTGTTAGGATATTGTTTTATCATGAGTATTTATGGATACATGGTCTTCTCTCAATGTGATGCCTAAGACTATGTTGTTTAAGTTGAATATGGATGGGGTTATGATGAGTCCTTGCACCTTAAGTGTATGAGAGTTTGATGGATCAAGGAGGTCTATAGAGGGAGAAGGTTACTTGAATGTCAATATTGGTCCTCATACCTTCTATATTTTATTCTATGTTATGGACATTCGTCCATCCTATACTTGTCTTTTGGGTCGTCCGTGGATCTATGTGGCAGGAGCTGTGACGTCCACTCTTCACCAACGCCTGAAGTCCATTATGAATGACAAGGTCATTGTCATTTATAGAGAAGAATATATGGTGGTTAATAACCTGACAACTTACCATTATATGGAAGTAGAAGGTGAGGTGCACGAGATCCCTTTTCAGGCTTTAAAGATTGTTTCTTTTGGCAAGTTTCCTGTTATGGAAAATAAGAAGGAGAAGCATGAGGCACCTATATTCTCTCTGAATGATGCTAAAGATCTCTTGGAAACTGGAATTCCTCATGATGGTTGGCTAAAAGTGAGTGAAGTTCCTGAGAGGGGAGATCGTTTTGGTATTGGATATCAGCCACCATCCTCTGTTCAAACTAGTTTGGTTCCTTTCGAAGGAAAGAAGATCCTCCCAATTTTCAAGGTGTTCACCAATGCTGGTACAAGCAAAGAAGAACAAATTCTTGCAGTGGATGATGAAGACGACAGTGAAGACATTTCCAGATTCATCTATCAAATTGCACCAAACCAGAAGCTCAACAACTGGATTATCGTGGACGTCCCTGAAGTTCTTTTCCTTGAAATGTAATTTCCTGTTTCTAAATAAGTCATATGCTCTGCACAAGGCACAATGATATCTTGTAGAAGAGGCCCCCGTATGTTTCAATCTTGGTTTAATATTGAATAAAAATCTCATTTTCGCATACAAGTTTTGTTCCCCATTTTTTCATTTTTACTTTTAATTTTTTAAATGGAAATGCTTTTCTCTTCAGACTCTAGATGATTTTTCTTTAACATTATCTTTCTAAGATAAAGCATGAATCATCAATCATGCAGATCCGCCTCAGTTTCCATAAAAAATGATAATACTATGGTTCCTAATATCTTTGAGAATACAGTTGACCATGTTGATGAAGATAGTGGAGAAGATTGTGAAGTTCCTGAAGAATTGACAAGACTCTTGAGACAGGAAGAGAAAGCCATCCAGCCATATAAAGAATCCATAGAAGTCATCAACCTCAGTACTTAAGAGGTAAAGAAATAAGTCAAGATAGGTGTTGTCTTGCAAAGTGAAGTAAAGAAGGGGTTAATTAATTTACTTCAAGAATTTGTTGACATCTTCGTCTGGTCCTACAATGACATTCTCGATTTGGAAACTGATATAGGTGTGCACTGGTTGTCACTCAAGCCAGAATGTCCACCTGTAAAACAGAAACTGCAAAGAACTCGACCATATATGGCTTTAAAGATCAAAGAAGAAGTCCAGAACCAACTCAATGCAGGTTTCTTAGATGTGATAAACTATCCACCGTGGATTACAAATATTGTACTGGTACCTAAGAAAGATGGGAAAGTATGTATGTGTATGGACTACCAAGATCTGAATAAGCAATCCCAAAGGATGATTTCTTGTTGCCTCACATTGATGTTTGGTTGATATTACTGCTCAGTCATCAGTATTTTCGTTCGTGGACGGATTTTCTGGGTGTAATCAGATGAAAATGGCTCCTGGAGACATGGATAAAACAAATTTCATAACTCCTTAGGGAACCTTTTGTTACAAGGTCATGCCTTTTGGTCTTAAAAATGCTGGTGCAACAAAGTCCTTTTTAAAGTTTTCACCTATTAAGTTCATCTTTTCTCCTCCCGAACAACACGACTCAAATGACCCAAAGTCAAACATAAACTCTCCTCTTCTTTGATTTAAAAAGGATTAAAAAGTGGAACAACGATTAATATGAATAGAAGACATGCATGGCCAGAGGAGGTTGTATGTGGTTTGACGAAATCGCCAGAGCTGGGAGAGAATATCGATGGGATTGGAGTTGGGAGTGAGCAATGGCGGATCGGTGTGGAGCGTTGGCTTCGTTGGAGGGACACAGACGAAGGGAATCGCAGGCACCGGTGGTGCTGCACCGAGATGGATCTGTGTGCAGTTACAGAAGGGCCGTTTGCAGAGTTTTCAGTGACTTGTTGACGTCGAGGTTGCAGCGCCACTGATTGATCCGGTGATGTCTGAAACACAATGAGATTATAGACAGAGTACTTTTTTTCCATTTATTCTTATTTTCCATTCTTGCTTTTGATCTTCAATAGCAACCTGTAAATAAACTGAGAATGTGCAGTAGATGTTAGTATATATCGTGGTTGATTTTCCCGTGAATGAAAAATCGATGTTGGCATTGTTCTGTTCAATACAAAAAAAAATATGGTTAGAGTAAAGCGTGAAAAAAAATATATTGGAAATTGTAGATTGAAAAAAAGGACACCATCAGTATTCATTAAAATACGCACAAATTAAAAACGAGTTAAAAATATCAGGGGGGCTCATATATAATCATCGACCAAAAATCGTAGAAAGTTTGAAAGATTTAAAAAAAAAGTGTGAATTGAAGGAATTGTGGATTTGTTAATTGTTGATGAAATTATTGATGGAAAAACTAGGACAACAAGAGTCCTATTTATAGAGTTAGAATTAGGTTAAAAGACTTGGAAAGTAAGTCAGCCCAAAAACCTAGAGAAGCCCAAAGTATGATTTCTAAAAAAGGAAAAAAAATTAGTAACAAACAATAGGAAAAAAATGTTTAAAAGTGCAACACACAAGATTCGAACTCGTGACCTCTTACTTCCAAGCTTAGTCCTTACCAATTGTTCTATGTTACTTATTCAAAATAAAAATCCAATTGAAAGTACATGAAGACGAGCAAGTATTTGTTTATTCAAAAATACAAATGATCTGAAATAAATTATTATATTTTTAATAGGTTTGGAAGCGAATATTTATAAAAATCAAAGAATATTATAAAACCAACGTTGAAAAAAAATTTGACCGTAGAAATAAAGGGAAGGAAAATTTGGGATATGACCCTTGCTTGCTTATATCTTGTCAAACCTCTGCATCTCGGTCCATATACCGAACCATAACTAATTTGGTAAGTTGAGTTTGTTTTGAAATCGCAATCGACCTCCTCACATTCTATATCACCGCTTTTATAATAAAGTTTCAAACCTCGATCCAACTTCGAGTTTCTTTTCAAAACCTTTTCTCAATAAAACATAGGAAAGATGGTTCGGAAGATTCTATCCCCCTCCTTATCAAGTCCTGGTTGTTAGTTATTTTTCAACTTGAGATCCTATACTTTGCTTCCTTAAACGAATCTTAATTAAGTGAACCTTGTTTTGCCTCACCTTTTCTTAATAACACTTTTTGGGATGAAAAAGATGATCAGGATGATTTTGTCCCCTCCATTTAAGTACTTGGAGCATTAACCGTTAACACTTATGGTCTGATGCTTTTTTCCCACATAAAAACAATCTCAACTCATTCAAATCTTTTTCCACTTGGATTTTCAATTTAAAACCTTTTCAAAAGAGAGATATTCCGTCCATTCTGTGACGATGAAGCAATGTTCCTTCAACATGTGAATGTTGAGCCTTTTCCACTCAAATGTGATGATGGCAAGAGTTTGTGCATATCTAGACTCAGTTATCCATTCTTAAAGTGATGCAATTGTTCCATTATACATGTTTCGAGCAATAATGTTTTCGTTTGAATGTGATCGAGTATCTCTCACTAAAACGAACCAACCCACAAACATTTGTTACCTGAACTACAACACTCTGATTTCCTTATGGCACCATGAGGATATGTAGGCACGGGGTTTTGAAACTGAGAAGAGCACAATAATAATAAAAAATCCAAAAACATTTCTCCTTTCTTTCTTTTCTACTTTCTCTCTTAATAATTATAAGATTGTGAACTTTCACACTAACACTGAAACGCATAAGTAACAAAATAGGTATCATCGAGTACGATGGATGTGAGGGGTGCTAATATCTTCCCCTTGCATAACTGAATCCCAAACCCTCTCTTTGGTTGCGATGACCATTTCTTTTCTCTTGTAGATTTTATTCAATATTTTCCCTTTCCTTCTTGGAATGAATAAATCTCGGTGTCGACTTCATTGTTCGAATATTTATTTGAGGTGCTACAGATGTTAAAATAGCTTTTTTAAATGGTGACTTAGAAGAAGAAATCAATATGGAACAACCAGAAGGGTTTGTGATCCATGGACAAGAAACAGGGTTTATAAGTTAGACAAGTCTCTCTATGGACTAAAACAAGCTCCTAAGTAATGGCACGAAAATTTTGATAACTTAATGATATCTAATGAGTACAAAGTGAATGAAAGTGACAAATTTGTTTATTACAAATATGAGAATTTCATTTGTACTATCATATGTCTATATGTAGACGATTTACTCATATTTGGATCACATTAAGACCATTAATGATGTGAAATCATTGTTATGCAAAAACTTTAATATGAAAGACCTCAGTGAAGAAAGTGTGATCCTTAGTATCAAGATCACGAGATCCGAACAAGGAATTTCTTTGGATCAATCATACTATATGGAGAAGATCTTAAAGAAATAAAAATACTTTGACTGTAAACTTATATGCACCACTATATGATCCAAGTGTGAAAATATTTAAGAATACTAGAGAAAGTGTCAGACAAACCGAATATGCGAGTATCATTGGCAATCTTAGGTATGCTACTGATTATACTAGATCCTACATTGTATATGTTGTAGGATTATTATACAGGTTTATGAGTAGAACGAGTAACGAGCATTGGCAAGATATTGAGAGAGTATGAGGTACCTTAAAAGGACCATGGATCTCGGCCTACATTATCAGAAATTTCATGTTGTACTAGAAGGGTACAGTGATGCAGATTGGAACACCTTATCAGGTAATTCCAAAGCTACTAGTGGTTATATATTTAGTATAGCTAGAGGAGTTGTATCTTGGAAATAAAAAAACAGACCATCCTGGCTCAGTCCATAATGGAGTCTAAGATGATAGCATTAGCCACAACTAGTGAAGAAGAAAGTTGGTTAAGATGCTTACTAGCTGAGATCCCTTTATGGGAAAAACCTATGTTAGTTGTGTTGATCCACTGAGATAGTAACGCGGATATTTCAAAACTTGAGAATCGTTATTATAATGGTAAAAGACGTCAAATAAGAAAAAAACACAACATTGTCAGAGTGTATATCTAAAGGAGTTGTAAGAGTGAATCATGTATGCACTGATGAAAACTTAACAGGTCCTTTGACGAAAGGATTAGATAGAGAGAAAGTCCATAATACATCTAAGAAGATGGTACTAATGTCGATAAATAAATGAGTTACTCATGATGGTAACCTGACCTAGATGACTAGAGATCTCAAGAAATAGGTTCAATGGGTAATAACAAGTTGTGAGTAATATGAGATAATCATGCAAGTGAAGCATGAATTCTAAAGTAATAAGAGTATGAGATGATAGAAACTCTTAATGAGATCTATGCTCTGTATGATGGGGTACCTAGGCTACAGGAGTACTCTTGATAGACTCACCTTTGTTATTGTGGAACTTGGGCCGATTCCTATGGAATTGCGAGGCAGAATTCCTAGAGCCTTCACTAAACCAGGATACACGTGCAGGGCCATTAAAGCACAAGCTATTAGAATTCACCTTAAGAAAAGGTTATGTGCGGATCTGATGTCTAAGATAGAGTTCAAGACAATAGTGTCACTCTTGTTGAATCGGAATCATACTTGCTACACAAAGATTTAAGTCGTAGACACCTTTGCTTATGCATAATCTTAGAAATGTCTGGCGTACTTCTAAAATCACCTTTTAAATTCAAGTAGGAGATTGTTGAAATCTTGGTTGATGTTTAATTGGAGTGGGGACTTGGAAGAAATTAATGGTATTAAGTTGACAATAAATGAGCACAAGTATGAACTAGCGTGTGTGAGTGAATTTGAAAAGGTTCATTAAAGTATCACATGGGAGGGAGAGAACACTTTAGTAATGTTTATATATTCCAAGTTAGTAAATAGGGTTGGGCCCCAAGGGGTACCCAATTTTGTGGTTGAGTGAGAATACATTACCACTAAACATTACACACGTGCGGTCGTCACCGTCGTTTGTCCGACCGACCGGCTCGGCTCGACTCGATTCGGTTTGGTCCGATATGGTCTTGGGCTTGGACTTTGATCCAAATATTTTGGTATCCAAAATGATGAAAAATTATTTAATATTATTATTATTTAATTTATCAAATGTGTGTAATGAATATTAATTAATTATTATTAATTAATAATAGTGTGTTGTAATTACAGATTAATTATTAATTAATCAATTAATTAATTAACTTGTTAACTTAATCCTTGAACAAGACTTACCTTGCCTTCCATGATACCTCTTTCCTTGCTGACCAAGCTCCACAACGGCTACATTCTTGGGCTGAACCGCTCCACTTCCCCCATGATTTTTTCTCCATTCGAGTCAGATCGTCAGCTATAATAGTGACCTTCCCAACACTTGCAATTCATTCCAGAATTCCACATTCGAATTCTCTCTCTCTCTCTCTCTCTCTCTCTCTCTCTCTCTCTCTCTCTCTCTCTCTCTCTCTCTCTCTCTCTCTCTCTCTCTCTCTACTTTGCTTCATCTAAATCATTTTCTTTTATGTTTTTCAAGTGGCTTACTGTGCCATCAACGACTGGATATTTCCAAATACTACGACTGATTTTACACCATCTGAAGGTGTATCTCTACAAACGATTAATTAGACTGCAAGTGATAAACGTAATTCTGAACAATTTGTTTTATCCTGGAGACATCGTCGAAACTTGAATGCCTTGCATAATTATTTATAGTACGGCGAAAAGTTTTAAAGAAAGTGAACTAGTACGCGACTCGTCCTGATAATTTTCTGTGACATTTTTTCAAAACCGAAAACAACATCTTGTAATTTTGGACATGTTTTCCAATGACATTTCTCCTTTTAAAAATCACATTCATCGTTACTAAGTTCATCCCTCTTTAACATTTTCCTTTTTAAACATGAGCAACAAAAACATGTGAAAGAGTGGATGATATTTCTATGTCTAAAATGAATTGGAGTGAGACTCAAATTT